AGGTGGTGCATGGGGAGGAACTAAAGTAGATGAAGCATTTGAAGCGTTTCTATCAAGTATTGTGGGTAGGTAACTATTTCTTAAAATTATACCACGTTCATATAAGAAGTGAATATGTAAAGTTACTGTAAATTCTAGTAAGAAAGTTTTCACAAAGGCTGTTAAAGCTTCCTACACAATCCGTAAAATGTGTTTATGCTCTTTATCGTGCAAATAAAATAAATATTTTTTGAAACTAACTTTAAATTTGGAAAAAGTTTTGACGGTGTAAACTCAGACTTCTTTTCATTAAGACTTCATCGTTGTATGAACTAAGATACGTTTCAGTTGTACTTATCAATACCATATCAATATAATAGCAATGAAATGTCAGATGTCAGTGTTTCAAATATCAATCGTATTACAGGACCGGTTGTCATCTCAAAATTCAAAAGTCAACATTTAGAGGACTACATTGACATTTTTCGTGAATTTGAAAGCAAAAAGCGCAAACCTATTCCTTCTACAGGATTCGTTACTATCCGTTTGTCTACTAGCCTCTCTGAGTTATGTAAAGAATTCAGAGAAACCGATTTAAGGGAATTATTATCAAAGTCCAGATATGAAAGCAAAGTCAAGGTTTTACAAGATAAGTTGAGACTCGATAGTGACATCTTCAACGAGTTTTTTGAACCAACCGTTCGCGAAATAAACAGTCATGTAGAAAATATATTGAAGGAATCTTCCGTTGATGGTTGTGCTGCCATTCTCATGGTTGGTGGATTTTCTGAATCATCGGTGTTGCAAAAGAATGTAAAGTCCACATTTAAACAACTTAAAGTTATCATTCCGAACGAAGCAAACTTAGCAGTCTTAAAAGGAGCTGTCATTTTCGGGCACAAGCCTACAACAATAACTGAGAGGATATGCAAGTTTACATATGGGGAAGGATCATCTCATAGGTACAGTGCTAGATGCAATCATCCAAAAGGAAGAGTTAAAAAGGACGAAAATGGTGACCTCCGATGTTATAATATCTTTGATATTCTTGTAAAAGCAGGGCAGTCTGTCAAGGTGGATGAAGAACAACCAGAACAAATATTCACACCTATTATCGATAACCAAACCAATATTAGCACCACAGTATATGCATCCACTTCAACTAATCCGCAACTTACTACAGAAGATGGTTGCAAACTCATTGGAACATTGACAGTGCCTATTTCTGACACAAGCTCGGGAAGAAACCATGAATTTGGAGCAAGTTTTATTTTTGGAGGGACCGAGATTGTTATAAAAGTTGTCGACAAAGAGTCCGGTGAAATGATGCTTAAGTCTGTCGATTTTCTTGGATAGAATATAAATGAACTAGCCCAGAACACTGAAACGTACAATACTACATTTCATTGTTTAATTTGTTTGGATATATACTGGATACATATATATATTTTATAGCCATATAAAATCTTTTATGTCATTGTGGCTAATTTCATTTCTTAAACGCAAGTTATCATTTCAGTAATTAAACGCCAATTTGCTTTTCTGTTAATTTATTATGTAGTTTAATAGCCAATCAGAAAGTGTCCTGCTTGCACGTGATCATTACCGTCCAATCAACGTGCAGCTTCTTCATATATATTTTTATTGTTTTATTTGTTTGGGAGTAAGAGTAATCATATATACTTGATACATGTAGCATTATTATTGTTTTATTGCTTGAAGCACATTGCGTTAATATCACAATCCTTTCATAATATTGCTAAAGATTGCTGTTTGTATATTATATATCTTAATTTTGTAAAGCATTTCGTTCATTTTCTGTCGTGGACGATAAACATTTTGATGGCATTTGAATGTACTTGATATAGTAACATTTATTTGTATTACTTACTACAATATAAGAACTCTCATTATCATACTTGTAAATGTAATGAATGATTATAAAAACATGTATGTTCTAAATGATTATATAAACTTTTACAATTATTTTAACTTTTAAATTGCTATAAGTATTTAGTTAAGGCAATATATCAGAATTTGTGTCAGAATGATTTTCCCATTAGTATAATTGAATTGTATTCAGCTAGAGTATATGGTTTCATTTTAAGACTTATATAAAGGTATTAATCAGGAGTGTAAACTAACGCATTTATAATAAAATCAAGTATAGTGAATAAAAACAGAATAACAAAAAAACAAGTGTTTCTGTTGCAATTGCTTTAGAACGATTTTTTACTTAAATGTAACTTGTTGAATTTGTGTAAAGGATTTAAACAGCTTTGACGTAATAACAGCCCAATGGAGTGTCATTATCAAAATACAGACTGAGCTACCAACAGTATATAATTTGTTCAAACTTTACGGATGTGTAGCTGGTTTGCTCTTTTTTATGGCAAAGGCTTTCATTTTCATTTGGTTCAAATTCTGACCTCTGAAAAAGTAATATTATATTTCGACATAAGTCTGGGGAACTCCAATCGCTACCCGTACGTTTATATAATTGTATTGTACTCGTTCGATACGTAAAAGTTAAAGTAACTAGTGAAATCAAAATTGAAACAATTCTCTATTATGAGAGATTAACAATACGTTAAGTTTCGGCAGTGTTTATTATTCTTAAAAAGATATAAAAATCAAACCTAAATGATCAACATACACACGGAATATTATCGAATTAGTAAATGATCGATGGCGGAGAAATTTGTAAATACTGGTTCATTTATCCAGTTAAGCTATTAAACCGGATACGGCCAAAATATCTGGTACAATCGGCGTTAAATCAACTGACAACAATCCAAATGGGACCTTCTTATCGACGGCTCTATACTGTTCGAAGATCTTTTTTTACTTCGATATAAAGATTCTATAACTTTTAATAAGATTTTAATTTAATTCCAAACACAACTAAACTGTATCTAACGCTTAGGCCCAAAAATCGTTAAACAGTGCTTTTTGCTACTTCATCTCGGCGAACTTTAAAATTTGTATCGGCGGTTTTCTTGCTTCCTTTTGTAAAGGACACGGGGATAATCGTCCAAAGTAAACTTTTATGCGCTACAGTATGTTTCACTGAAGGTGGATTGAATCACGAACACAATATCACGTTTTATAGTTTAATGGTCCTTTCTTAATGAAATACCACAAATGATATATAACATATGCGCAGGTTATCATGACGTTAACAAATATAGATTATAAACAGTAACATATATTGTTAGTGGAAAACCACAAAGTTATCTCTTGGAAATCCAAATTCTTACTGTCCAAATTTTCATCTTTACAAAATTTCTGAATAAGGTTTTGTTTTACACTGACCAATAGAATGTTAACATAACAAAATGGCCAATCAGGTTTCAATACAAAATAATGTAACATAGCAACATGGAATTTATAACAACAATTATCACCTGGACATTTTATCAGTCATAAGGATTAACAATTTAATTAGTACAGACAGATTATTTGACATTATCATCTAAATATGATAACAATATTTTAGCACAATTATTTGGACAAAGAGGAAAGTTCACATTTAATCTTCCGGTAACATAATTATTCATTTGTCATCTGTTATTAAAACATTAAACATTTGTAACTTAACATATTGGATATTTCACATATTCTTTAGAAAATATAGTATTTTTAGATAAAAAGATAACAATTTTAAAAGTAAATACCATGCATATTCCATCATTATATTTTGGAAAAGAATTTCGTTATTTTTCTGCTTCACAACACATCTCCCTCAGTAGTTTGAAAACTTTTCCTAATGATTATTATGCTTTATCCATAAAACAGCATAGTTTCAGAATGACAGACAATTGCTTGCAAATTTAAAATAGGCTCTTGATATTCAAAGTATTATTGATAATGGTTTTGTGACAAAGCTGCTGACATTTGAATGAATAATTCTTGATCTCAAAGAAAACCAACGAAAACACCTGGATCTTACAAAAAGTTTACTATGCGATGTCTGCTTTTTTTGGTCTGTATACAATGGATAAGTAAATAACAAATTTCTTGTTACAAAATCGGACCATATTGTTACATATATATTTGTGACAAAATACAGCTGAAAGATTGGATTAAGCATTTTATGATCTATAACCCACTACACAAGTGGCAGTAATAGGGATTGACAGATGTGATACTAAGGTAGTATAAACTGCGACTCCTATTTGCGCTCTCACTCAATGCGAGGCTTTCATTTTGAAGCCTGGTCAAATGGACAGTTGATTTAGACACATTTCATTTAAAAGTTAGCAAAATGACACACAACACACACTTAGAATTTTAGACAACCGCAAATGGCTGTCCGTCCATCACCAATTTGTAATTATCTGAAATTTCACCCTTTTTAAAATTATTTCGCAAAACTTTAAGAATCTTCCCATAAGAAAACTTTTATATTTCGGTCCATTGACTGAAAAAGAGTTTTAAAACTGATTGGACAAAATTGTCTATTTCCGATATTCATGGTCGTAAAAGACGAGAACAAAGATCAACAAAGAAGCAACGTTCGCATGAAGCAACTCCCGACACACCCATGTCACTAAATTGCCTAAAGGGCAATCTAGTTGATTCAATTCTAAACCCCATAATAAAACTAAGACGCACCGTAAGGAGCACTTGATATTACAACAGAAATATGTTGATACTTTAAAAACTGTCACTTAAGGTGCTAAATACTGTCGAGTTACACTTCATTTATCAAATATGCTTGTAGTTTTCAAACAAGCCATTTCAAAAATTGTCAATATATATTTATCAAACAAAGTGCAAAGGAAGATCATTACAGTCAGTTAAAATAACTTGGTCCAGTACTTTTATCATACATAAGTTTCAAACAAATCTATTTTACAAACTTTACAATAAGTTCACATCATATTTAAATGGCCACAATGGCTCTTTATCGCTAACCTGAAGATGTGGTTTTAGTGGTAAGATTTCATCATTTGTCCATTCAGACAGTTGCATCAAAATCAAATCAATCAGTTGAATCATACTTTAAATGTAGCATGCAGGCAGCGATCTTGTTTTGCAGACTAGTGATTAAATCGATTTTTCAAAAGGATCACCGAAGGATAATTTTTATTGAATTTATTCAAAATTAGCCCAGCAGTCCAAAAAAATGTTAAGTTTATTTCTGTTTTTAGAACAGGCAGCCATCTTGATTAATATCGTACTTGAATTTATAATTTTATTCTTTTTTTGGTAAAAGAACATTAAATAATATTTCCTATACTTTTATCAATGAATTAGGTAGAATAATAGTTCCTTTGCTCGCAATTTCTTGTCTCCCTTTATTCTATGTTTAAATTGAAACAAATTTACAAAAAAAGATAAATAATTCAAAACTATGCAGCCTGGTGGTTCTTTCAATCTTCACCTTTGTAGTCACAATGTATCATCAGTCCGATTAAGTATCAGGTCAGTCTCTTGTATACTATTGGAATAATGCTTTGGATGAAAAAAATGCATCATTAGTAGACCATTGGAAAAATAGACTAGTAATAGCTTAAGTTTCTCCTAATGACCATATTAATAGTTTAATGACCCCCATAGCCCGAAGTAAACGTTGGGAAGTGTTCTTCTAATGATAATAGTATACATAATAATTTAGTTAATGTTCCCCGATTGATCATAGCAATAGCATATAGAAAACACATTGGTTTGTGGGTAACAGTAAAAATACCATTACGAGGAAAAAAACTGTTACCCGAGGCGTAAGCTAACAAATGTTTAATATCTCTAAATAAATACTTTTATGCTCTTTGTAGAAGACCCTTTAAATACTAGTTTTATATCATTGTACAATATTACACACAAATTGAAGGATTCAAGGATCTTAAAGTACGAAAGGAAAAAATACTTCTCAAGTCGGCCGGCATGTACAGTACACTTTCAATGGTGTTCAACTAGCAATGTAAGGACTGTTTAGTTAGTGTTACTCTTGATTTAATTTTGTTGCAGTAAGATTTAGTTCACCTTTTCAGATCATCACAGTATTTGTTCGGGGTAATAAAATAAACAAGAGGGTCATAATGGCCCTGAGTCGCTCACAAGAAACAACTGCTTTTCAATAAAAGATAAAAGACTACTTAAGAATGCTACAAACAGAGTTTGGTGATCATCCATCAATTAGTTCTGTAGAAGCAGACGTTTAAAGGTATTTCTTATTTTAGCATTAGCGGACCCTAAAAGTGGCCAATCAAATTAATATGAGCAAACTTGATAAAAGACTACCTAAGAATGCTACAGACAGAATTTGGTGATTATCCATCAATTATTACTGTAACAGTAAAAGATAATGTTCAAAGGTTCCACTTTAAGTTTGAGCGGCCCCAAAAAGGGGC